TTTCCAGGAGCTACAGGGGATCCACTCACCACGCCACACAGAAGCCCTAAGAAGACCAATAACAAAAAAACAACCTATTTTTAAGAAATAGGTCCGATTTTTGTCCCAAGCATGCTTGAGGGAATTGGGGCTTGTAGAGGCCACTGTTGGGTGTAGTTTCCAGGAGCTACTGGGGCTCCACTCACCACGCCACACAGAAGCCCCAAAAACACCAAAAACAAAAAAACAACCTATTTTTAAGAAATAGGCCCGATTTTTGTCCCAAGCATGCTTGAAGGAATTGGGGCTTGTAGAGCCCACTGTGGGGTGTAGTTTCCAGGAGCTAGTGGGGCTCCACTCACCACGCCACACAGAAGCCCCAAAAACACCAGAACACTACCACAGCGGGACGTCCTTTCGATTCCGAAGCGCGTGGTTATCCGACCGGGCTAACCGGACACTTCTCATGAAGACAATACCCAAACCACACAGACAAGAAGACCATGCAGAGAAGCCCCAAGAAGACCAAAAACAAAAAAACAGCCTATTTTTAAGAAATAGGACCTATTTTTGTCCCAAGCATGCTTGAAGGGATTGGGGCTTGTAGAGGCCACTGCTGGGTGTAGCTTCCAGGAGCTACAGGGGATCCACTCACCACGCCACACAGAAGCCCCAAAAGCACCAAAAACAAAAAAACAACCTATTTTTAAGAAATAGGGCCGATTTTTGCCCCAAGCATGCTTGAAGGGACTGGGCCTTGTAGAGGCCACTGCTGGGTGTAGTTTCCAGGAGCTACAGGGGCTCCACGCACCACGCCACACAGAAGCCCCAAGAATACCAAAAACCAAAAAGCAACCTATCTTTAAGAAATAGGCCCGATTTTTGTTCCAAGCATGCTTGAAGGGACTGGGGCTTGTAGAGGCCACTGTTGGGCGTAGTTTCCAGGAGCTACAGGGGATCCACTCACCATGCCACACAGAAGCCCCAAGAATACCAAAAACCAAAAAGCGACCTATTTTTAAGAAATAGGCCCGATTTTTGTTCCAAGCATGCTTGAAGGGACTGGGGCTTGTAGAGGCCACTGTTGGGTGTAGTTTCCAGGAGCTACAGGGGATCCACTCACCATGCCACACAGAAGCCCCCAAGAATACCAAAACCAAAAAAACAACCTATTTTCAAGAAATATGCCCGATTTTTGTCCCAAGCATGCTTGAAGGGACTGGGCCTTGTAGAGGGCACTGTTGGGTGTAGTTTCCAGGAGCTACAGGGGATCCACCCACCATGCCACACAGAAGCCTCAAGAATACCAAAAACAAAAAAACAACCTATTTCTAAGAAATAGGCCTGATTTTTTTCCCAAGCATGCTTGAAGGCATGCTTGAAGGGATTGGGGCTTGTAGAGGCCACTGTTGGGTGTAGTTTCCAGGAGCTACAGGGATTCTTCCACCCATGCAGGGCAGAGAGCCCCAAGAATCCCAAAGACAAAAAACAACCTATTGTCAAGAAATAGGCCCGATTACCAGTTTGCATGTGCAGGAAGCCATGGCAGGCATTCAGGCCCCCCCCCCAACAAATGCAGACGAGGTGAATGAAATTATTGAAATTAAACGAGGCGAGGTGAATAATTTCAAAACATGAAATTAAGACGAGGTACGAGGTGAACGAAATTCATGAAACTAATTTAATTCACTCAGATTCAGTACTGATTGCCCTGACCAACCCCTGGCAGTCATTGGAATACGATACTCCTCATGAAGCCATCAGCAGATTGCCGAGATCTGGGTACCATGGACGCTATGAGGACAGAGGTGATGAGGGTATGAAGTTCGTGGTGGCCCACTCAGAGATTCCTTCAAGCTTCCGTCTTACGTCCCTTGTTTGATGCTATTGTATGCTATTGTATTATATATATGTATGATTTGTATGCTCCGGTGATTTGGTACAACAGAGCGAGTTTTGGATTCTGGGGGCACAAACTACTACTGTAGATTGTAGATCCATCCTCTTTTTGGAATCCTCAAGTGAGGCACGAGGTGGTAAAGGGATATGCCTTCGAGATTGAGTTTTCCAAGTATGACGGAGGGGACTATCTGAAGGTTGCTGGCTGCTATTTCCGCATCAAAGACGCATTCAAAAGAGCCATCGATATCCATGTGGAACGATGCGATCTATGCAAGCAAGCGGCAGTTTCTTGCCAACCAAACCTATTAGGTGCTAATTGGTCACACAGGAGCCATCTCCCATCTCGGGACCTAAATACATTAGGAGTGTAATCTGAATCAACTGCCCTTCGACCCCTTTTCTTCCCGTTTTGCGCCACCAAGACAGATTGTTGGGTGCTCCCAGGTGCAAGATGGAGACCTCCAAGACATGAACCCCAGCTTGAGCTGCGTGCCGCCAGCTAGCAGGGTCATTCTTTGTCGCAGTCCTGAACAGCTATGGTTCCTGGTGCACCCGTTGACCACATCCTGCGTGCAGCTGGATCTGACTGACCCTGTTCTCAGAGTAGTCCCGGGACGTGAATCCAATGATTCAGCAACAGTGGTGGTCGAAGGCGGGACGGTGCACGCCTGTGAAGACTTGCTTGCTTCTGATTGCAAGTTTACGGCAAAGGGCAATCTCCTGACTCTGTGCCAGAAGTAGATTCCTTAGTCTTGCATTCCAAACCAGCCACTACTTGCTTCCTGCAATCTCTTTTTCTTACACCTTTAAATTGGAGTCTGTCTTGCTAAGGTATTGCCAAGAGTGGGAAGAGCCGAAACCAAAGGTGGATTTGATAAAAATCATACACAATGCAACTAGTGATTGACTTGCTTGAAGGTCGCATATTCTAGAGATTGTTGCAAGATTTGCGAAGCTCAGACTTCCAAAACGCAGCAGGGAAAACGATCTGCGAAATAAGACATGCATATTAGCATATTGGTAACTTCTGCGAACTTCGTGAGAAGCAAGTGTCACATTGAATCGCTCCTGACTGCATTGCACATGCGCGAATATTTAAAGTCCGTGTACATTGGCCGGGTCAGAATTCTGAACCAAAGACGCATTTGTTTGTTTAAAGTCTCCACGCTGCAGGATGCACAGGAGCCGTTTTCCTCCATTGGAAGGGCCTTTCTTGTGTATGTGTTTTATTGCTCATTACAAAGCAGTCCTGGCGAACGGTGAAAGGCCTTGTGTACAGAATCGGAGATTAAACCAATCTCCTGCTGCCTGCCAAGGGCCAAAGTCTGGTCAAGGCAACTAAGAAGTTCATTCATGCGGTGCACGATGGTGTTTTCTGGACAGGTGCCAGCCAGCAAGTAAACCAGCAGCTTCAAGCAAATATAAAGGCAAACAAGGCTTAATACAATTTAATACTGCATAACATAGCTACACTCATAGCTACCAAAGTATCCTGGAAAATTCGTGCCTTTAGCTGTGCACCCTATCACCGCTGTCACTCTGAGAGTCTTTAAAAGAGGGATGCCTGCACAGTGTGTTTCCCAGTCTCTCTACAGCTGGTTTGTTCCTCAGAGACTGCCCTTGTTGATCATCTCCACTGAGAATAGACTTCTCTCTACCTGTTTTAGAATGGACCTGCCCCTACCTGTTTTCACAAATACTCCCAAATAAGTCTTAATATTCACTCCAAAGTGTCAACACCATTGCCTTTCAGAGCCTTGACCTGTGAACAATCCAAGGCACTCTCATCATCAATGGCACCAGGATTCCAGTCCAATGTCCGGTTGACAAGACATTGGAAATGCAGTGGACAATAGCAGACGCTTTGAAGCTCTTGTTCCAGGCAAAGGATGACAAAGTCCGCCGGGGTAATTTCCACAGAGTTCATTCTCAAATAGATGCGCTCTACAAACAGATTTGGGAGACCGATGACCTACCTGTGGGTCTCACTTCAAAAAGGTCTGCTTTGGCAAAGGATGCAAAGGGGGTCCAGGAGGGTGCCATGTATGCGTTGAAAGCAATGATGCCAACATCAACCCTGACTGTCGCGCTTCTGTGGGGCATCATCACTCCTCGGCGACGAGACGATGATGCCAACTATGCATTTGATAGCTTCAAAGCGCTTTGGGGCTATGCCATCGCAAGCCGACCAGACTGGAGGCTGCGGGTTCAAAGAGCTGATGGGGCACGGAGATCCTTTGATGCAGGCTTGACTGATTCCGGTGCAATTTTATCTAGCTTGATCGGCCCACCCAGCCAAGATCATGCTGCACAAGACTGGAGGACTTTTCATGCCCACCGAAATCCTGGATGGATGACGTCACCAGAGATTGCTGGAGCCTCACTATGTGAGATTGTTGCCTTCACCCTATCCCCTTACAGCAACTGCGCATTTTTGGAAGTGCCAGTGGCCTCAATCATTCGCCAGGTTTGCGCTATTCTGAATGAAGTGGGGGCTGCAATTGGAAGTGCCAAGATGCCAGCCTCACAGATGTACAAGAACAAAGCGTGCTTTGAGGAAGCGGAAGAACGGAGGAAGCAGCTTTGTGCACATTTCTTGCTCCATGAGAATGAAGCTCTCCCGTATACGCGAGTTATCAAGTTGGTTTGTTTCACAAGGTTTCTCCATAGTTCTCTGATGAATTTCGCACTTAGTTTCCTATCAGTGCGATTCTGCGTCCAGTCTCTGAGGAAGATCACGGAATCACCATTCGCAAGGCGCTTGAGGACTTTGGCCTTTCCACCTCCGTGACACAATATGCTTTCCAACTTTGCGTGCGGGCCCAAACCAGTCAATGTCCACTTGAATCCAACTTGAACACATACAATGTAGTTTAGCTACACTCAGGACAATGCAGTTATTAGACACTAATAGCTGCCATCTGATTATATCTGACCATAAGTAGCGTCTCAGGTGGTCTACTTGGCCAGGGCTATGGCTGAGGCCAAACATTGTCGAGTTTGGCATGTTCCCTGCCAGCAAGAAGCCACGGCTGGAAACATGCTACGCTGTCAAGCAATGAAAAACACACGTCAGATCAGTGTCTCAAATGAGAAACATCGGGATACTGAGATCTATGCAGACGGAAGTTCTGTTGCCAAAAGATCCACAGAGCTGGCTTATTGCTGGCTCCCGGAAATACAGAGAGGTTTCTTTGCTCCTCCTTTAGACTCTCAGCTGCATCATCTGCACTATGATCCCTATTAGTAAGGAGGACTAGTTGTTATACAAAAGCATAACTTCTATATAAGAGTTGCAGATTTTGCCAGTTGGTTCAAAGCCAGTGGTTGAAACTTTCCAGGCTCTTCGGAAGGACATCTCCGAGACCCTCAACGGAACGAGCGTTTTCCGACCAAGTTTGCAGAAAAAGGAGTGCAATGCATACTTTGCACCGCCCTTATTTGCTGTGTTCGTTTGAATTAAAATTGCACAATGGATTTATGGTTGCTGGGCCGAGCCATGCAAACTGTCAGGTGATGTTGAAATTTCTGAATCACATTTTCTCCATCTTTGGCGAAATGAACTGGCTGACTTTTATCCCGAAAGCGCAAGATCGGATTTCACCTGGGGATGACTTGGGTAAGGTGACCCTGCCAGAAATTGACAGCTTGCCCATCCTGAAGCTTGTCCCTTGGTGGTCTGTTGAGAGGGCATTAGTGCTTAATAGTATTGGTTGAGCTCTTGGTGGTCCAAATGAGTGTGATTGATGCAATAGCTCTTCAGTTCTCGAACGTATCAAGGGCAGTAATATGCTTTTTTGTTTTATGAGAGCGTCCAGGACCAGGCCAGGACCCAATCCTGTGGCTTGCAAGTGAGGCTTAATTAGGTCCAAGTTTAGAACAGCAATGAATGCATAGCAGGAGCTCTCAGCAATTAACTGCTACTAACTATTGCCTAGTAGATGCTATTAAGCCAAGTTTCTAAGGTTACAGATGGGGAGACGGTTCAATGCAAGGCATTTGAGTATGCCTTTGGCGTTCTCTTTGCACGCGGTTTTGCAGACCAAGAGGATGCGCATGCCAAGTGGAACGCATTTAAGAAGGCCATCTCCAGGTCCAAGCTGGGCCTCATTGTCCTGAAACTGACTCTGGTGTGCTGCTTGGTGTTTGTTTGGCTTGCTGAACAACAAATCACCTATCGCAACTCCCCCCCAAACCCCACCCTCCTACAAAATAAGACTATTCCCTACAAAGGCTTATTGAGGCTTATTAAGGCTTATGATACCAGACTTGAAAATCAACCTAGGCTTTGTCCTTTTTGATTGGATTCTAGAGTCACACCTACATTGTAGTCAAAAGCAATGCGAACTGAATTCTCAGGTAACTATAATCATGGTGCTTTCCAGAGTGGGGACAAAGGACCCCTAAAGCAAGATGCACTGCGCCGATTCCTTGAAGAGCAGCCCAACGACTTCTTTGTCCACATGGCAGAGTCCATCGCTTTTGACCGTGGGCAGCGGTATGATAGAGATCAAACCAGCAAGGTGGCTCCAGCATTTGAAGAGTGGATGAGTGCCAAGTTGATCAAAAATAGAGGGCAATTTGCAGCTTTTCGGAATTCCAGATCTCGCCTCTCCTATATAGTTAAATAATATGAAATAAGTATTGTATAGTATTGTTATGTGCCAGTAGCAGAACCAAAATTATGCTTTTTCGTCACAAGCACTTGCTATCGCAGCCACCATCTAAGCTTTGAGGTAAAAGAGAAGAGCTGGTTTGGAGCACAAAAGGCGTTTCGACAGCTGCTTAAAGACTGGACAATCCAAACTGTTGCTGTTGATTCGATGCTTGACTTCATCGAGGACTAGGGTTAGGGTGACCAACCTGATCTCTCATACTCATGTTTTGCAAATATACTGCCCTATACCTGATGCAGTTGGATCTAATTTGTACATTGCAAGCACGTGAACTACTCCATTAAATGCTATTTCTGCTTAATAAGAATATAATAGAATATAGCTTCCAAGGTTTCAAGGGATTTCACGTGGCCATTCCAGCAGGAAACCTCTGGTGGTAACCAAGAAGGTCAGGATGAGGAGGATGAGAAACAGGACCACGATGAGCATTCGACGGATCCGTATTCCACCAAGGCAGAACTCTACAAGCACCTCAGTCACAATTTTACAATGTTTTTGCTGGAGGCGACTGTGACTACTGGTGCCTAGCCATCCTAGCCTCCTTAGTGAAGTTTGGTGTTCCAAAGAAGGGTCCTCCTTTCAGGGCCATGCCATCACGTTCATGGTGATTCCAGGGAGCGTAAAGGAAATTCACACTCATGCAGGTCCCTTCGTCAGATCCCAGGATACAGTCCAACTCGGATGGTACAAGAGATTTGGAGGGAACATACGCTTCAAAACGGGTGCCGGGCACCCATCGGGCGCCATGGTTTCCAAACGCTTTCGGGTTCCTCATCAGTTCCATCGGGGTCGTCTTAGTTCGGGGGGTCCAAAGAAGTCGAACCGAACTCCGGCAGCGCCACGGAATCGACTCGAAGCGATCCACTCGGGACGGACGGACGTGCGTGTTGGGGCGGACGTCCCAACGTCTGACACTCGGCCACGGCGCGTGGACCACTGGGCGTTATGCGCTGTGGGGACCGGTCGGGCTCGCCCTGAGGGTTGAGAGCCGTTGGGAGGTGGACAGAAACTCCTAGTAGCTTCCAAGAGAGGTTGAGAGAGCAGAACTGGACCCTGGTCTGTGGTACATATGCGATGAGCTATATATATATATATATAGTGCTGTTCAACCAGTGGTTCTTGTTCCTTCCTATAGTCGTAAGGCCAGGAGCGCCCCGTTCGTAGCGTCCGATCGCTCCGTTCGAGTCACGATGCCCGCTCCCTTCACCGCTCCCGGGCGACAAAGGCGCCTTCTGGCGACCAACCCTAGGGAGGACTTTGGACCCAAACGTGGTGCTCCATGAATAGGTGACCCCCTTCCTCCAGAATTGTTTCCTTTAACAAAAGCTGTCATTTTTCACGGTGCATCGTTCGTCTTCGTCTTCAAATCGGATCGTATCTTCGGTTCTTTGTTCCGACTATTGTCAAATTGTCATTGTTTAAAGCACCAGATGATCCAGATGGACACGCACCTAGGTACTTCTCAGGCAAAGGCCCAACCAAGATGATATCAACCTTCCTGCACGACTGGAAAAACAAACAGGTTGCGATTATCATATGCGTTCTCAGCAGGCCCCTTGAGGAGACGTACAGCAGCAACCAGGAAACATTGTCATCTGGGGCTGAAGAGTCTATGGAATGGTCAGCAGGGCGAGCGAGCGGCTCTTGGTGGGCAATGATTGTTGAGATTATCAAGCAGCTCCAGGGTGTACCTCGTGCAAACATAGTCATTTTATTTTTGTATGTGGGCTGTTTGATGACGTTAGATAAGCACCGATGATCTAGTAGGTTTTGTAGAATGAAATAATCAGCCACAGGCGGGTTTTTCAATCTTGAACAGTCTTGCCAGGTAAGCCTTATGATGCGCCTTGACTTCACAATGCCAGGGACTCCAGTGCATCACGCTCCTGAAGATGAAAAGGATAAGGAACCAAAATGGATGAGGAACGGAGTGAGCAAATTTGTTTGACACTACCATCAAGCGTACATGGTTAATATTGTTAAATATAATACAGTATTATATAATTAGTTGCTATTTCGCTGCATCTGTTTAGTGATTGTATATATATACTTTTGTCAGGCAAGAGAGAAGTATCCTGGACATTGCATGGTGCTTTGGTATGGAGCTCTGCGCCGCAATCCTTTGGTCTCATATTCTGCATCTATGGCGGCTCCCACAGGCAGCAGCCGTCTTCCTCCTGCCAGAGGGGCGAAAGCGTGATCGCTGCATCAAGCAGGTGAGGAGCGCCTGGACCTCTGTATAAGAACAATTTGGTCTTATTTTAAGATGCTTTTATTGGAGTCCACCTTGGTAAAGACTAATAGCCATGAATAATGTTCTCCAAAGCAAGGCTTCATTGGGGCACTGATTGATGCAGAGAACACGTTTCTTGCGGATCCGGAAAAGCACACTTTTCTTGGTCATTGCCTCGAAGATGTTGGATGGAACACGCATCAGCTTGTCAGGGAGATGATGGCCATTTCGGTGCAAGAAGATGACCGAAAGATGTCCCAGGTTTTGCGCAAGCTGTTCTATGGATCCAGTACCACGAAAGACATCTGTGAATCAACATTTGCATGGCTGCATTCCAAGGCTGCAAGCACCACGAAGGTGCAAAAAATGTCAGATTTCACAAAATACCTTTACACTATTCTGTCTCCGTATACGGAAGCTTCTGGCTTGCACCAATTACTGCCTGATCAAGATGATTGGATGATCGTCCGCTCGAACCCTGGTAAGAATCTGCGCATGAAGGCAAAAGGGTTTTTCAATTTGGATACCACTCAGATGCCAGACAACGGAGCTGTCAAGTCAGAGAATGACCTGGAAAAGAGGAGAAAAGTTGGCGCTCTTAATGATGAGCGCTCCTCTGCAGCAATGGCCTATCTAGTGTATGAGCGCAAAAGCCGGTGGCAAAACATCTCATTGCACTGGGCAGGCAGGGTGTTCAATCAATTCCTTTCAACGCATAACTAAATGTTGCTTTTAGTTGTGAATTGCTTTTGCAACAGAGAATCTCCTGAACTAGAGCTGGTTTCTAGACCTCCTCTGCACCAGACTCAATCAATAGCTTCTGAATAGTTGCTATTCTTATTGAATAGTTATTCAATTGATGCTGGCTTTGCTCTGGCTCTTTGGGCCTAACTCAATGCAACTTGCAAAATTTGCAGATGAAGGTTGGTTCCCTTTTCACCCAACACCTTGGCGAGGCGTGCTATTTGTGCAGGGTGAAATCTATTTTCATGAAGAGCGCAATCTGTACTTGGTCTCCATGGGTTTCCGTGAGTGGATGACTTTTGGAATTCCTTTGGAGAAGCTTGAGCATGGTGGCCAGGACCATTTCTTCTGTATTGCTTTCGGTTCAACGCTCCAATTTTCAGCGCCTACATTACAATCTGTTCAATATGAATCAATATGACCATCTATTACAAACTAATTGATGCTATTCTGACAATGTGATGAAACCCTTTTCTTGGCTATGCACTTTGCAGGAGTACTTGGTTCTGAGCCCGGATAAAACCACACAGCCCATCCCAATGCTGAACTACATTTTTGACCCAGAGGAGAAGAACTTGTGGAAACACGTGAAAGTGGAGAGGTCCCTTCCATACGAGCTTGGATCGCATTTGCTGAACCGTGGCTTCGGTACACTGCTACGCATTTGCCCTTCCCAAGAGACGGATCTTCTCAGGACAGCTTTGCGGGCAAAGGTCACTAGCCTGCACTTGATTTAAAGAAAGTTTGAGGAACAAAATTCAATCGTCCCAATACATAATACAAGTAGTTGCATAGTTTCGTCAATTTTCCACAAATAACGCCAAACTAGGTCAACTTGAGGGTCCCAGAGCTGAAGTCCATCGTGAGCCACCTCAAAATCCCTCTTCCAAGCAAGGGTCAAGGAACTGGAGCGAATCTTGGAGTGGTGAAGGCAGACATCATCAGGGCACTCATTGAGCATCTGTTCCCGGATGATTCACGAGAATCGAGAGAGGATCTGATTCGGTCATTGTCCCCTCCTCCTCGGAAGAAAAAGAAGAAAGCGGAGGAGGACAATGAAGAAGCTCAGATCCTGACCATGATCAGTCAACTTGACCCAGAAAACGCTGAGGCCTATAAAAAGATATCTCAATATGCTCGGGAACGGCTGGAGGAATCATATATCGAGACCGGAAGACAACAAGGAGTCAGCAAGACGATCGATGAGGTTAAAGCAGCTCTAGAGAAAGAAGGCATTGACATTTCTGTGGAACAGCCATCCAAGGAGAAACCTTTGAATATCCAGGCGAGAAGCGGACAATTTGGTCGGTTTGGCTTGTTGAATTGCTGGGATAATTTGATGGCTTTTGAATACATAGACTTTAACTGGATTTTCGTCATTTCGGGGTGCAAGAGTTTAATCTAGTCACTTGACCATACTTTGTCCATAGACGCGTTGGATGCTGGTAAGGTGAAGAAGCGGAAAGACTTGGAGAAGACGGACAAAAGCTCGGCTGATGCACCAGCAGCTGAAGCGGCAGCACATGGATCTTCCCCACTCAAGAAACCTAGAGTTGATCCTGAACCCAAAGCCGAAGCTGCTTCAGGATCTGGCGATGCCAAGAGAACTAGGGTGCCAATCACGCCCAAGACCTTGAAGGAGCTTCTT